TTGTTGTTTTGTTTTGTTTTTTAAAAAAGATACTCTGAAAACCTACATAGAGACTTCCAGATACATTTTGAGGTTTAATAATAATCTTGTGTTTCATGGTAATTGTATTTTCCATTTTGCAATGTACTTGGGATGATAACTCATCTCTATGCTTTTAGCTTTACAGAAAGAGAAAGTAATTTAGGTAAAATACTGTTAAATGATTAACAGGCTTATCTATAGAGAAACAGTTAGCTCAAGGGAAAGGAAGTAGACAGGGAATAAACTTTATCCTGCTTTGGGTGCCTTACGAGCCCAAATAAGAAATAAAAACCTTTGAATGGAGGTGCTTTCTACATGCGTGTTACACAGTACTCAAATCTCCCATAGCAGAGGCCCAGGGCTTCTGACTGATGGTTTTGTCTGTGTTTAGATACAGCGTCCTGACTTTTATTTACATATAATTAGCTTACGAAGAAAGAAATTCTATCTTATAATTTTTATCAAAACTTTTATAAACTTCATAATAATAATAGCAATAATAATTCAGGAAAGAGCCATCATACTAATAAGAAAGATGTGAGGTTTATAGGTGTAAAGAATTTTTTGATAAAGAGTGTTAAAGAGTAAGGAAATGCTTTTACATAGGGATGGTTTTTGTACTGAGAGCTTTGTCCTGAAGTAGAAAAGCATTTGAGGATGGAAAGACGGGAAAGGCCAAAACTGAAGGCGGAGAGTGGCAAATGTACAGAAAGTGGACATGGCTATAACTAAGTTAGTTGTAGTACAAAAGTCATTAAAACCGTTAAAGTCGAAAAATTCAATACCCGGAGGTAAAACTGAAGCTCATTTCTTCATTCACAAAAATCAGGTTTTCCTCTCTATTGATCTATTCTTAGCGATGTTTACCAAAACCTGGCTTAGAAGGACAAAAATTTTATTACATCCTTTTGCTAAATGAGGCCTTTAACCTGTCTCTCTAATCACTAAGCTTATGTTTTCTTATTGAATAAAGTATTCACTTGCTGGGTGGTCTGCGCAGTGGAAGAAGTTTTGTGAAACTATATTTATATTGGGAGCATTTCTGGTGAGTTTTATGGTGACTGGAGAACTTATTTTAATGACACAATTCAAATCTCCTCATACAATTAGAGCTCTTAGACAACACTAATAACCTTTCAAAATTAACCAAAATTTTGGCTGTAGTAAGAGCCCCTTTGGGAACACCAACATCTCTTTATAAAATAAGTTCTTGGTATGTTATAAGAAGTTAAATGAAAGCCACTTACATCTTATAGGGAGGCACAGAGGTAAAGAGACTTTAAATATGACAATCGAACATTCAGAGCTGGTTGCCGTCCTCTCCACAGATGAGGGAAAGGAGCTCCAGGCCCACGCACAAATTCCTATTGCGTGGGCCTTCACTTGAATCAGACAGCTGCCGTTACACCCGAGGTGACAGTGCCACTGTGGTCCCATTGGGGCTATCATGCCGGCCATGTTGGTTCACAGGCTTTATAGCCAGGTAGGACCATCCTTTGCTCCCCTTCCTTGGCAACTTACCTATCACCTTCTGATGCTGAGAGCAAGTCACTGAGCGTGCAGATCAGTTCCAGTGTGATTCCTCCAACTCCTGTGTCCAAAGTGTGTGGTGTATTCAGAAAGAAGATCTTACCCGCAAGTTCTGGGAGGCGACCCAGGGCACCAACAATAGCCCATGTTGTTTTAGAAAACTTGTGATTTCCCGACCAACAACTCAAAAGCTTCCCCATGCTTAATACCGCAATGATGGCAAGGTAGTATGTCTCTCATGAACGTCATCGTCACACTGTGTGGCATCACTCAGACTGTGTGTGTGTGTGTGTACATTTTAAAAATGTAAGCTTATTGAATAATATGTTGCCATTCTTAGCGTTAGCTCTTTCTCCTTCCCCTTCCTGCATATTCCCTTTCATCCTTACTCTCTAGTATAGGTCTCCCCCTTCTCTATCACCCTCTTTGTAGTCCAAGTCTCCTGTTACCCCCTTTCTCCTCCCCTCCTCACGTGGTTTCCTTCTGTTTCCCTGGCTTCCTAGGCTACTTCAAGTCACATCTGGGTTACCTCACTCAGTGTAATGTTTTCTAGTTCCATCGATTTACCTATAAATGCCATGACTTTATTTCTTTTAGAGCGGAATGGTATTCCATGGTGTGCATGAACCACATTTTCATCATCGTTCATTAGTTGAAGGGCATTTGGGTTGTTTCTGTCTCCTAGCCATTGTGAACGGAGTGGCTATGAACACTGACGAGCAAGTGTCATGGGGTAGGATGTCAAGTCCTTTGGGCTTATGACTAAGAGTGTTGTAGCCGGGTCACATGGCAGACTGACCTTTAGCTTTTTGAGAATTTTCCACACTGATATCGACATTCGCTGCACCAGTTTACAGTCAACAGTGAACAAGGGTCCCCTCTCCCTGCATCCTCCACAGTCCTTGTCGCTGTTTGCTTGCTCTTCACCAACCTAACTGGGGGAAATGGGCTCTTAGAGGAGTTTAATTTTCACTTCTCTGATTGCTAAGGATGCTGAACATTTTATAACATATTTCTTAACCATTTTTATTTCTTCTTTAGAAAATTTTCTGTTCAGATTCAGAGGGCATTTTAAAATTGGACCTTATGTTTTCATGACTTTATTTTTTGAGTTCTTTCTATATTCTGGATATTAAGCCTCTCTCAGATACACAGCTGGCAAAAAATCTCTCTTCTGCTCTGTGGGCTTCCACTTCACTCAGTCGACTGTTTCTGTTTCTTTTGTTGTGTAGAAGACTTTTAGTTTTATGAAGTCTCATTTGTCAATTGCTGGCTTTAATTTCTGAGCAAATGGAATCCTATACAGAAAGTTATGACTTACATGCATCTTGTAGAACACTGCTTGTGTTTTCTTCAGCAGTTCTACTGTTTCAGGTTTCACACTAAAAGGACCACCACCTATATTTCTTTAAACTGAGTTTTTATGTTTACAAAGATTCAACTCTGAATTTTCACAATGTCAGAATTTATAGAACTAACAATAGATTCACAAGGTATATTGACTTTGAAAGTATCATTGTTCCCAAGTAGTCTCTTGATAACCCGACAAGGCAAATACAGGAGCACAGATTCTTTTATTCTAATCTTACCTATGAATATTAACTTTCAGATCGTGCATTACACTATACACAATATATATGCATATATGTAGTTTACAGATTGACCACATAGGATTGAAGAAGCCCAAGGGGATCTCAAGGAATTGCGAAGATGCCTGAGAGGCAGACAGGGCAGCTAACAGGATCCTAAAGAGTTTCTGTTGTAATAAGGTAACTCCTGCTGGAGGTCTGCTCCTACCAAGTCAAAGTTTGCACTTAGTCAACGGCAGAGGCTGGAGAGGTCATGTGCAAGACTCAGCCCAGAAGACAGTTACATGGCCGGTTGAGACAGACAAGTGGGCAAAGGTACCAATGTCACTTCGAGTAGAACAGCCACAGCAGCAGGGACAGCCCATCCAAAGCCGCAGGACTGCTGGGAGTTCTCTGCTGCACACAGGGTGGTAAGATAAGGTCTTCTGACCACTGAAGCACCAGGTCTCCTCTTCATGCCGTTCTGGTGAGGGAGCTGCACCGGTCCCCAGCCTTGTGAGTCCAGTGTGTTGTCTTGCCTGTTTCCCCTGGTTTGATCTTAACATCAGCGTGTGGTTGTAGCTCCCATTTACTTTGATGGCTTCATGGGATAAATCCGGACTAGCTGAACATAGCGGACAATGAGGAATACTGAGAATTCAAGAACAATTGCAGTGGGTTTTTGATCCTACTGCACGTACTGGCTTTGTGGGAGCCTAGGCAGTTTGGATGCTCACCTTACGAGACCTGGATAGAGGTGGGCAGTCCTTGGGCTTCCCACAGGTCAGGGAACCCTGATTGCTCTTCGAGTAGATGAGGGGGGGGGGACTTGATCGGGGGGAGGGGGAGGGAAATAGGAAGCGGTTGTGGGGACGAGGCAGAAATCCTTAATAAATAAATAAATTTAAATAAAAAAAAAGAAAAAAATAGTGGGCCCCTTTTTGCTTTGAGGAATAAGTTGTTAATCTGTCTGTGCCTTCTGGTTGGTGTCAGACAGATGGTGTTTACTTGTCCATCAAGGTGTGAACTCTTCTGAATTTTTTTTCTCAAAATGGAGTCAAGGCTGCTTGTATAACAGAACCTGCTGCAGTCCGAAAAGCCATTGTTTTGCAGTGTGGGGTAACTCAAAGCAGAGCACATCCTGATCTCAGTATCTTTACTTTTCACTGGATTTGAACTGCGAGCACTTCATTGAGGAATTGCATTTCCATTCACAGACGTCGTTAGTCTGAAGTCTTCTTTCCATGTTTTGCCTACGTTTGGTATTGGAGTCATTCTGGCTTCACGAGGAACTGGGGAAAGTATTTTCTTTTTTGAAAAGAATTGAGTTCATTTTTGTTCTCAAATATTTTGTGCTATTCCTTTTTTTTTTTGGCAGTCTGTTTTTATTTTTAAATAAGTGCAGGGCGAGCCACGTGTAAACTGGGAGGAACTGCTAATCGGCTTTCATTTTACAACTCTGAAGTTAATCCATACCATCTGTGATCTATGACAAGGGCGCCAAATTTTTAGTTAGCCGCAGCAAAGACAAGGGAGTTCCCTAATTCATCCTTAATAGTTTCTCAAGCTTCCCCCTCTCATCCTCTTCTAAGTGGAGCATTTATCTCGGAGTCAGTTCATGTGGCCTTACCCCAACATCCCTCTATCTTCAACACAGGACCAGCTGAGCGTGGATCTGGGAAGTGACAGCCAGGGAGTGACTCCTAGCTTAGAAGAAGCCATCAGAATCCCTAGAGGGAGAGGGTTGGACGGAGGGTCTGGGGCGGGGCGGGGGAGAGGGAGGAGTGCAAAAACGGAGCCTAGGGGTTGGAACCTGTGGAGCAGCAACGCCCCCTAGGCTATAAATATAGAGGTGCTTCGCTGCTGATCGCCAGGCAGCTGCGAGGGACTGGGTGATGCTGTGTGGCCGGAGTGGACAGGCGGCGGCGTGAGTCTTGCTCCACGGGTGGCTCGGGTGACGGAGGCCCATACCAGCGCAGCGGCTTTTCCAGCTCTGGTGCTCTCCCGAGTGCGGTGAGTCCTAGGCGAGGCGTCCCGCCTGCGCGGTGATCAGGGGCGGGAGGGGCCGGTTCCTTGTCACCGCGTTTGAACCGGGAGTACTGGGCGAGGAGGACCCGGAGGATCCTGGAGAGCAAGCACTTTCCCGGCCAGCGGGCAGACTGGAGCTAGCCGCCCTTTTCCAGATCAGGTGGGAGGAAACTGCGCTCACTTGCAGCGTGCTCCAAAGAGTCGTAGTGTTTTGACCAAACTCTTTCGAGTACAGGCTAAACACCCACAGAAATGGGAGGCAAGCAAACCAACTTTCCTCCGTGCTTTTAAATAACTGTTGTGTTTTAACTGTGACCTGAATTTAACCCTGGCCTGTGTGACTGCGAAGCCAGTCATTAGAAGTTGCGCTACTTTGAGTTAAAGAGTGTCCCCCACTTTGTTTGCCAGTGACCCCCTATCAGCGGGTCATTGTCAGTAGGTGGGCCAAACTCCATCACCGCTGGTGTTCCCAGAGGCTCTTTGATTTCTCACTCTGGAGAGGGGAGAAGCAGGTTGCTGTACCTTAGCAGGCCCACTTGGCCTGTAGTGCCTGCGGGATTCCAGTGGTTCAGTACCGAACCTAGAGCATGGCCCTCCACTCCTCTATCTCGTTCCCAGTTCCTTTAGCCCAGGGCCTCTGCAACCCCAAACTGTGGCGGTCTCCAGAAAACTCAAGCCGTCCTGTCTGTCCCCTCCTTCTCTTTGGTCAAGTATAGGTTAATTGGCTGCCGGTGTCCCCGTGTTTTCTAATGTCCTCACTAAGCATAAAAACCCACTACTGATTCCCAGGAGACTTTTTTCGCAGGAAAGTTTAGGTCACGTTTAAAAGTTGACTGCATTAATTTCCTGTGTCATTCCAGGAAAAAAGGCTGCGTCAAGCATCCTTATCCACTTCTGTTCTCTTCAGTCAGTAATTGTCTTCTTCAGGGTACTTCACTACCAAAGTGATTTTTTTTCTTTTGTGATAGTTACTACCGTGGGGTTCCGGGGCCTTGTATTTATTGCCCTTAGCAAAAGCATTAACCCTCCTTAAAATATTCTATTAAAAAAAAAAGCAACAACAAGAGGCTTATTTTAGCGTTTCATCTTCTTGGTTCAACCACAAACAAACACTACCTATTTTGTTTGCCTTCTAACGGCCCTACTTGGACAATCACTTCACTGGTGTGACCTAGAATAATTTTCTTGCTAATGCCCTCCTTGTCCTCCCACCAAATTAGCTGCATGGTATTAAGAGTGTTTTTATTTGTTTAACAAGTCTGAGTCTCAGGTCACTGCCCAGAAGGACTCCTCCAGTTACTAAAAACCCTTGATTCTTTCTGCTTCTTGGTGATTGCTGACAAAAGTCTAAAATGTTTACCCTGTTAGCCTGGATTTAGAGTCTCCAAAACTGTCTGTCTTTCCTTTTGTCTTCTCAGAACAAACATTAAGTTTCCTAATAGCTCCATAGGTCCATCCCCAAATCATAGGTGACAATTCCTGTAATGCATAATAGATAATGCTGAGGTTTAGGGAGTGGCCTCAAGTTGCAAGGTCTTAATATTTACTGGGTTTTCAATTCCTCCTTCTCTTCCTGGATTTCTTGAGTTTTGTTTGTTCATGTTTTTGTTGTTGATGTTGGTTTATTTTCCCCTTGATAAGGCCTTGGCTTCTAGTTCTGCTATTCCTTGGTGTTAGTTAAGCCGACCTCAGTGCCCACCACCTCAGGAGAGTGGGTTTCCTCCCAGGGGAAGACCTGTCATTCTGAGGCTTACAAAATGTCCGACCGTCACAGTGTCTGAGGCAGGCATACTGAGCGCCAGTGTGTCTTCTGTCTTAACTTGGGTCAGTGTGAGGACATACCTATGAACCGTTCTGCTTCCTCTCCCGTCTAGTTTGGAGGAAGAACGTTCCCTGATACCTTAGAGCTTATTTTTGCTGCCTTTGGCTGCTACTCCTTATGACTGTGGATATTGTGTTACTAATTAACAGTGGCAACGAATTTTGCTTATTCCAAGGAACCAAAAGTTTAATCTTATACTCACTTCAAACCCCAGTGAAGTACTTAGCTGCGAAGGACTTTGAAGCACAGTTCCAATGATGGCCGTGAGCCTCTCTTGTGATGCCCTTCCCAAGCAGATAGCTGAGAGCTGCGGTATTTTGCTTTCAAATCTGTTATAGGGACAGAGATGGAGTTCCTGTTCCATTTGTATGCTTTTACTGACCAGAACAGACTCCTGTCCCTTAGCCTTTTGTTGATCACTGTGCCTGGTCCTTCCTTTCCCTGAATATTAGGTTCTAGCAATCAGTTTTTAAATGATTTTATGGCTATAGTTACTTTTAACCAGTTTTACTCAGTGGCAGAAGGTAAGGCACAAATGATTTGGCGAGCGACTGTTATTAGCCTATTAAAAGCTCTAAAATATAGTGTTTTCCTCTCAGAAAAGAAATGTAAAGGGGTATAAATTTGCCAGAAGTTTCGCGAGAGTTATTACTTTAACACCAGATGGGAATACAAAGCAAAATACATATTTAGGATATTCATAAAAATGACAACTCGGTATTGCTGTTTTGTACAGCTCTATTACCAGGAAATATTTGCTGATCTTTAATTTTTTTTCATAGCAGATATTCAGAAAAGTTCCTTTGCATATGAAAACTAAAATTATGATTCAAATTTCTTTAATAGAAAAGAGTTGGTTGTATGGTTTGAATGTGGTGTGATTGCTTTGTTCTCCTTCACTCTTACAGGTCCGTTTAGAAGTGCTTGCTTCAGGTTTTGTTTTTGCGCTTCCTCTAAAGGTCTTAAGTGGAGACAAGAATCTAGAATCTGCTAGCTATGGTTACAACTCCCATACCCCAGAGTCTTTTCAAGAGTTTCATGTTTAATTACATTTGCGGCATTGAAAATTTTGGGAAACAGGTGAACAGGGAGTCCACACTGCTTCTAGTGGCAGCCTTCTGGATGAGTTATGAATTTTAAGTCATATGACTATCGGTCCTTAGGTTTAGAGCAACTGGTTTCTTACTCACTTTGTTTACACAGAAGACACCTTGATCTTCACCGAGTGATAAAAGTCTTGGCTCAGGCCAATGACTTTAACTCTTTGTCTTAACTTCAGAGGAAAAATATTGGAAACACATGCATGTTACTACGTACTTGCCTATAAAGAGACACTCCACTTGCTAATTCACTCTCTGAGTGGCTTAGATATTTGCTCATTTTATATGAACCAAAGATCATACACTGCTTTGGAAAATGAAGGATTGTCTGTGAAATCTGAATCAGCTGTAGTAGGCTCTTGCAAAGGCAGTTGTATGGAGCAGGGTGACATCAGCCATTGAGGACACGTCAAAGCGTGAAAACGGTCTTTGCCCTGCAGAGTTAGTTGCAGGGATGTTGAGAAAGAGAAGACATTTAAAAGCCACTCCTCCTGTCTTGGTGTTCAGATGAGATGGGTGTCTGGCATGGCTGCACTGTTCAGTTCCTGCAATTCTCCAACAAAGACAGCTCCTTCCTTTCCTCCCTAGGAGTCGCTTAATACTATGGATCTTGTGTGTGCACCCTCATAGCCCCTTATTAAATGATTCCTTGTGTCTGGGGGAAAGCGTGACAGCAGAGCTACCTTTCCAACCCATCTAGTGTTCCATCCTGTCATCCACAATAAAAAGGCTTAACATTGGTCTCGTCGGGAATAGACACTAATATCGTTTTCAATCTAAAGAACTACTGGCAAGGAAAGAGTGAAAAGGATGAAAAAAAAAAACGGAATCAAAGATGATGAAAGGTAGCCTCAAATCAGTGGTTTTGAATGTGTTGAGGCCAGTCAAGCTCTGTCCCCAGTTCAAACTCACCACATTTCAAACCCGAAACAAGCATCCATTCACCCCAGGTGCCATCCAGTCACCCCAGATGCCGTCCAGTCTCCCCAGGTGCCGTCCAGTCTCCCCAGATGTCATCCAGTCTCCCCAGATGCCGTCCAGTCTTCCCAGGTGCCGTCCAGTCTCCCCAGATGTCGTCCAGTCTCCCCAGATGCCGTCCAGTCTTCCCAGGTGCCATCCAGTCTCCCCAGGTGCCATCCATTCACCCCAGGTGCCATCCAGTCACCCCAGGTGCCGTCCAGTCTTCCCAGGTGCCATCCTGTCACCCCAGATGTCATCCAGTCTCCCCAGATGTTGTCCAGTCACCCAGGTGCCGTCCAGTCTCCCCAGGTGCCGTCCAGTCTCCCCAGGTGCCGTTCAGTCTCCCCAGGTGCCATCTAGTCTCCCCAGGTGCCGTCCAGTCTCTCCAGGTGCCGTCCAGTCTCCCCAGATGCTGTCCAGTCACCCAGGTGCCGTCCACCCCAGGTGCCATCCTGTCACCCCAGGTGCCATCCAGTCTCCCCAGGTGCCGTCCAGTCACCCCAGGTGCCGTCCAGTCTCCCCAGGTGCCGTCCAGTCACCCCAGGTGCCGTCCAGTCTTCCCAGGTGCCGTCCAGTCTCCCCAGGTGCCGTCCAGTCTCCCCAGGTGCCGTCCAGTCACCCCAGGTGCCGTCCAGTCTCCCCAGGTGCCGTCCAGTCACCCCAGGTGCCGTCCAGTCTCCCCAGGTGCAGTCCAGTCTCCCCAGGTGCCGTCCAGTCACCCCAGGTGCCGTCCAGTCTCCCCAGGTGCCGTTCAGTCTCCCCAGGTGCCATCTAGTCTCCCCAGGTGCCGTCCAGTCTCCCCAGGTGCCATCTAGTCTCCCCAGGCGCCATCCAGTCTCCCCAGGTGCTGTAGTCCATAGAGCAGTTTCTTGAGAATTTATGAATTCTGAGAATTTATGAAAATGTAAAATCGCACACTCCTTGAATAAGAATCTGCATTCTCAAAAGACTTCTGAGTGGTTCAAGCACATTAAAGACAGAGAAGCCTTGGTATTCGTGCCTTCCTTAAAATGATTATCTTGGGTGTTATTTTCTTGGCCTTTGTAGAAGATAATGTTTTAAAATTGGGTGGTGGTGGCACACGCCTTTAGTCCCAGCATTCAGGAAGAAAGGCAGGGGATTTCTGGGTTCCAGGTCAGCCTGGTCTGCAGAACAAGTTCCAGAACAGCCAGCACGACGCAAAGAAACCCCTTCCCTTCAACAGAAAATATATTTTTAATAAAGCTAAAATTTATTCATCACATAACACATGGCGCATAGTGTTCATTCTGTAAATATCCTTCATTTAACCTTCAGAAAACTATGGCATAGTCTCTGTATCTTCATGTTATCTGCCAGAATACTAAGAAATAATGGAGATAGATTAAAAAAATACACAAATGTGGTAACATTTTAGATTTACTTAAATCTTAAAAGCCATGTACTTTGCCACATTGTCTGTTGCACACTGGGCAACTTTCTTTTTGATGAAGGCTAATGGCATAAGAATTTATTTAAAGTTGTAATTTGAAATCTTGACCCATTTCTCTCCAGGAGAAGAACACTAAGAACAATTGTTTTGTTGCTAGTATTTGACTTAAGAGGCACTGAGAAGAAATCTAGAAATTTCTGCTATCTACTGAGAACTGAACGTGTGGCAGTCTGTCACCCGATGTGCATGTGGCGAGAGGAACCGGGGTAACACACACACCGCGATCAAGCTTTCTGAAAATGGAACTGGATACAGTATAGTCTGGAGTCATAACTGCTGGGGAAACTGAGGCAGGAGGTCCCATTGAATCAGGAGTTCAAGAACAGTCTGGAAAATATACAAAGATGGTCCTTAAAAGGTGTAAAATAAAAAGGGTAGTAGGGCTTTTTAAAATAAACTTTTGGGGAACTGGGAGTGTAACTTGGGTTTCTTCCCCAGGATCGTGTGAGCTGAGCATGGTGGTTCATGCCAGCCTAGATCACATATTACCTTTTAGTATAGGCTCTTATTTACCTACCGTATGGTTTAAAAACTCTGTAGTAGAGTCTAGCTGTAAAGTGGTCAGGCTTCACGTAAGTGGCAAATTCTTTGAAGTCAGTGACTCTCCGAACGCTTTAGTTCCTGTAGGGTTCCTCCCTATGTAAGCAGACTTCTGATGGTTGTTGGATAGACCCAGCCAAATGCTTTTTGTTGTGCCAGAAGATCATTGAAGTTGGCTAAAAGACCGAGCTGAGCCTAGGTTCCCTGGGATCGTGTCTAAGAATCATGGCCTGCCACCAGGACAGTTGGCACGGTTTTCTCAGTGATGAATTTTACCCGCTGCTTGGAACTAGGACGTTAGCATCCAGGCAGATTTACCAGTACAGAATTTAACATTTATGGGAAAGACTGGGGGCAAAGCTCAACTCAGAGACACCAGCATGCCATGCCGTGAGCATGGGAGAGCTAGTGCAGCACATAGGGGATGTGCACGCAGCAGGCAGAGTTCCTCAGTGCTAACAAGCGAGACAGTATCAATGGCCATCCTCACCGGCTTTGCCAGGCCCCGCCTGTAAGTGCAGACAACTTCTATTAGGTTTCCTTCTTCTTCCAAACAGATTAAAACATTCTGTAGCACTTCCTCCAACAAATGCCGTATGCTTACAATTTTATCATCAGAATTTCCTCTACTCTTTGACCCACATTTTTCTTGGTATTTAATTCAATTACATTTCTTCATGATTCTAAATATGCGTAATTCTTCTTGAATAAGAATGCTCCATTAAGCCGGGTTTCATGACTCTCTTTCCATTCAGAGGATGTCACTTCAGATAAAACACATTGTACCATGAATAAAACACACTGCACCATGATGTTTCCCAGGCATTCGCTGCCCATAGTTCATTGTTGTTACTTTAGCCGTAATAGGAGAAGTCTGGAGTGTTTTCTACATGTTGATAGTTCTTAAATACTTTTTGAAGTTTGACCTGCTGAGAGAAGAGGTTTGGACCAAGCAGTCACAATATAATTGAGAAGTATAGAATCATCATGTATGTATCTTATATTTTAATAACACGTAATGACAATATATTCATTAGCAACATATAAAACATAAATTACAAGTACCATTCTGTGCATATTACGGCTTTGTTGATTTTTATCAAAATACTATTAAGGCTGGAATTAGGTTCTTGATGGTCTAATGAAAGTAATTTAGTTTTTTATCACTGATTTGAGAGTAAAATAATTTTTTTTACTTTTATTAATGTCATAAAATTTGTATAGCAAAATAACCACAACAAAAAGATCAATAAAAATATACAACAGATCTGAGAAGCCCTAAAGGGCTAGTCATTCAAGATTTATTCTTCCTATCGTTTTTTGTATGCTTTCCAAATTTCCTTAGTGAGTCTCTAACATTTCCACTTCGTGTTTGCCTTGGACCTTCTGGTACTTTCCCTCTAATCCACTCTGGTGGGTGAGAAACTTGTCTCAGCCGGCCACAGCTAACACTCTGAAGAGGGGCACTGTAAAATTGATGATTTCCTTATTTTTTCCCAAAAATGTAGTCTTACCGAAAACTCATGACTTTTATATCATATTAGTATTTTAAGTGGAGAATCTTCTTATGAAAATGTCTTTGACAATGGTAATAATGCCCCAAATCCTTCTGTTCTGATCTCTATTTCTGTTTTGATACTATATTTCTGTTTTGATACTATACTTCTGTTATGATACTATACTTCTGTGTACAGGCTTTCTGTGTCACCTGTTCACAGTCCCTTTAAGTAACTGAACAGGTTAAAACAACCTTCGTAGACTCTCCCAAATCCATAATAGAAACTATCAATGAATTTAGCTACCTAAAAATAAATAAATAATTAAACAAACAGATGGCTAGATAATAAGCAGTGTGATAAACAAATTCGAGAGGTAAATCTGCAAACCTTTGGAAGCTGCTTGCCACACATGACATGTAAAATGTTAGCTTCTATAACTAACATTCACCTTTTCATATGAGAAACTATGCATGACCTAATTGAAAAAGGAAGCAAAGGTAATGGCCATGTAAGACAGGAGCAGAAAAACTCCTGAAGAGCATTAGAAGTTGAGAAACTCAGTTTCATCCACGGGCACTGAAATGCCAAGTCCAAGGACACATTAAGAAGATTTTTGCAAAAACCTAGATTTTGGGCATCAGATTTTTATCACAAACTTTATAAATAGAATTTTATCACTATCCATAAAAATGTTAAAGAACAGTTTAGTTCAATAATTCTGTTTTGGATCTGTGCTATTGATAATGTTCAGTAAGTATAAAATGTCTATGTATGAATATGAGCATTGAAACGTTTTACAGCAGCCAAATGGAAAGCTGGGAAAAAAAGAGATTTAAGGCCTTAAGAATAGGCCAACTAAGTAAATTATCAATGAATGAATCTGCTTTCTGTGTGCCAACAAAGAACGTTCTGTGTAGCCATAAGGCTAAACAAAACCAACAGATTAATGTCAGCAACGAGCAGAGAAGTAAAACCTTAGTTAAGAGAACATGAATGCACACAGATGTGTACATGTATATATACTTGGAGTTCTAGAGGGGTAAAGAAGGAGAGTATCTCTGGGAGGCAAACTCACAAAATTAGAGTCAGACATTTACATTATTATGTAGCAACCTTTCTATGACGTGCAGGTCTTATATACAAAAGACAAACAGACAAAAAATCTTTTGTAATAGAATTCTCAAAATATAGTTTAATAATACTTGCGTAAAGCTCATAAAAAAGCGAATATGTAGCAAAGTTTAACTGCGGTTCCTTAAGTAAAAGCCCAATCCATTGTCATAGTTCACATCTTTAGGGTCAGTTTCACCCAGTCTGGTGCCCTTTGCTGCAAGACACCGGGAAGGGTTGTTAAACATCGTTAGGAGGGAGAAGCCTAGCTCCATATTAGGGAAAATGTGTTCTCAGTGTGAAACATGTGGCTTCTTTCTCTCCTCAAACAGTCTTAATATGCAGTATTAGTAAGTGTTTAATAAAAAAAATTAAAATCTGACCACATTTGTGAGTCCCTTTAATATTTTCCTCTTCCAGATTTAACAGATGATCGATTGGTATACCATGGCTGGCACTTTCTCCAGCTAAATCACCACAGCCATCCCTGGAAGTCATCACCAGGTAAGGGTCTCATAAGTCGTTTTCTCTAATAGTCAGGTACTCAAGCAGGGAAGAGTAAAATTTCACCTTTACTCTATTTTCTTGATACATGGCTTAGGAATGTGTTTCCTGTAACTTTAAATATCTACGCTATCATAGTAACCATTCATTCATGAACCGACGGCAAACCATGCCAGATAACTGAAAACCTTTGGCAAAGGGCCCTTCAGCATCTGATGGTTGCCCTGTGCTGCATTCTCGCGGTGCATGGGGTGAAAAGGCTAGCCACGAAATGGTTGTGGCCTCATCAGCTTCAGGTCGGGTATGCGTTCACTCAATGTCGGGAATCTAAAGACCGAGACCTTAGCATTAGACCTGCTTGCTTTCAGAATGCCAGCATGTCTCGGAGTCTCTGCTTGCAAACCTCTCCCCTGCTTTAGTGACAATGCAGGGTGATATCAGTCAGGGAGGGAGGTCCTGTAAGCTCCGTGAGAGACACAGAGTCGCAGGGTAGCACACTGGTGCCTTGGAGAATAACACAGCAGTCTGAGACTGTTTTGGAGATCCTCTTCTGTAGTAGACCTGATATTTTTCATGAAGGGGGTCCCTTGAACTCAACTAGTAGGGAAAGGAACCTTCAGCAGCTTCCCTGTTCTATTTAGAGGAATTTAAAAGCCGTGTGTGCCCCTTGGGACACACCGTGATTCTGTTTTGCTGAGGCAGACTCCAGATGGGTGCTAGGTGGGCACAGAAATGTTACAAGTGGCTTTGTTCTTTTTCTCACTGGCATGTAGGAGAATCTTTCTGGAAGGCACCCCAGGGTAGTGGTGTGAGCAAACTATTTAGGGCTACTTTAATCTTGAGAATTAAAATAGTCACATTCTATGGAGTTGTTGCTGTGTATCTTTGGCGTTTGTGTTTGGTGTGTGTGTGTGTAGATAAGCTTAAGAGTCTGGACAGTGTACATTATGAAATTTAAAAGTCAGCTTTGGAAACAAGTGCAATAAATTATATCAAATACTTTTCTAGTTTGTAAGACAGTAAGACAATATGTAAGTTTTTTTTTTTTCAGTACTGGGGTTTGAACCCAAGACCTTATCCATGATATGCTGCTGAGTCACGTCCCAGCTGTAAAAAAATAAAAAAATAAAAAAAAGACTTTTCTTTTGATTCTGAGAATTACTCATTACCCAGGCAAACTTTGTGCTTGTGATTCTGCTGCATCAGCTAACCTCCAAAGTACTGAGGACAGCAACCCCCAGGCCCAGCTGATGTGGTATATTTTTAGGAGTTCCTGTGCTGGTTGTTTTGTTGTTGTTGTTTGTTTGTTTGTTTTGTTTTCTTGTTCATTTGACTTAAATCTAGACTTAAAGCTGGGAAGAGGGACTACTAATTGAGAAAATGCCTCCATAACATTGGCCTATAGGCCAGTCTGTAGGGCATTTTCTTAATTAGTGATTGTGGGATGCACGGTCCATTCCATTGTGGTCGGTGTCCTGGACTGGTGGTCTTAGGTTGTATAAGAGAGCATGCTGAGCAAGTCATGAGGAGCAAGCCAGTAAGCAGCTCCCTTCCATGGCCGATATATCAGTTCCTGCCTCCAGGTCCCTGCCTTGAGTCCCTACCTTGATTCTCTAGGATGAAGGACTGGCTACAAACTGTAAGATGAAAGAAACCCTTTCTTCCTGAAGTTGCTTTTGGCTGTGGTATATTAGCACAGCGATAGAAACCCTGACTAAGACAGCTCCAAAGAGGAAGGATCTCATTCCGTGTTATTTCCCATCAGCCCCAGGTGGAAGAAGCCAAGCAGCTAACCCAGAATGCTCCTTCCAGAAGAGGTTCTAGTCTTGGGCCTGACCCCCTTTCCAACGTGTCCAAAGACATCCCATTCCCGGCATTCACATTAGCAAGAGAACTTTTCAAATAACTGACACCTTGCTTAAGAATAGTAAACACAGATGATACATTGTACGTTCCTTTTTCAAACATTTCATTTAAGGCTACCACAAGCAGCATTCCTCATTGTAAGGAGCTATTTTTTGTTTCTAAAGAGCTGATGGTCTACCAATCCTTCCTAACTAGCAACATTGCCCTGGTTTCCTGCCAACTCATCCCAAAGGCCCCTTTTCCAGCTGTAGGCGCTCTGCTAAAATACAGAAGGCATTTGTTTACCGAAGGACCTTGTGAACTCGGTAATGCCCCTTTAAAATTTCTGCCAACTTACAACTAAAGAACTCTGATCTCTTATTGATTGAAACGTGTAAACAGCATTTTAGAGTTTGTTTTACAGGTCCAAAGTGTTTATGTTAAAACCAACTTTTATGAGTTGGGAAGCCTGCCTACTTGTACATTTAAAAGAATAAAAATCTGGGGTTAGTGACGTAAGAATCTGTGGACATGCACTGTCCGATCTAACAGCCATTGTTCACATGTGGGTACTGAAATTTAAATTTAAATTAATCTGACTCCAGAAAGTAGAAATTCAGTTTCTCGGCTCCGAAAGAGCATCTCGAGTGTTTCTTAGACACGTAGTTGATGTGTGATACAGACGTAGAACGTTCCCGTTCGCACAGACGGTCCCATTTCACAGGCTGTGATAAACACAGTTTTAAACGCTGCAGGGGACATTCGTGACCAGTTAAAGGAAAGTTTTATACTCTTTTTTAACTTGGAAATTTCAAAGTATTTTGATATTCAAATTTTCTTAGTTCCCATTGCTTGGGATACAGCTATCACAGGCTTCTTTATGTGTTTCCTATTAGTTTTTCCACTTGAATCTTTAGTAAATTAGTCTAGTTTTATATTCATGATCTCTTTAAGAGTTGTGCATAGGTCCCTATGTCATCTCTTGAGCTGAGGACTAACATGTGGATGTGACAGCTGGCTTATTTACCTACATCCTTGTCACCCTTCTTTTCGTAAGGTCTCAATTTTCTTGGAGTAGGAGGTGTGTCTCATTTGTTTTAACTTAAATACATCTTATTGATTTTTTTTTTATAAAGAATTTGGTGAGTCAAACAAAATCAGTTGCTCAACACTTTTGCTCAACGCTCTAGCTTTATTTGACGTACACATATGACATATAGTAGTAATTTGGTTTTATTTGTAATGAATACAACGAATCCCCGGTGTAATGTTCTTAAAGTTCTTCCTCCTTCTGTTTCCCCGTGTTCCATTAACGAAATGTCAGTCTCGAACACATTCCAGTCATTATCTCTAGCGATGCAGTTACGTTTATTTCCCGGAATAACACAGTTGCACAAGACCAAACACTGAAAACAAATTTGCCTTTCCTGTTGAAGCACAGGATTTGAAGGCAGCTGTCAGTCTATCTTTCCGAAATGCATGTCATATCTGCCCGTCTTCCAATTACACACTTAGAGGGTCACTTTTCAACCACAGCACGAGGTGGCCTGGAGCCACCTTAGACTTTTAGGAACAAATCCCAAAATGTTTCCAATGGGGGGAAATTTTAGCCAGTGTGTGTGTGTGTTTAAGGAAACTAATGTGTAATTTGGATTATGGGGGAAATTATGTAATATTTGCAGTTTATCGATGGTAACTTGATTCCTTTGTTGACTAGCATGGCTAGTGGAACTCTGCCCATGAACATGCTACTTTACATTGGTTAAGGAAGATGCTATAACATCTTAAACTTTTGCATTTCATCTTTTTTCTTCTTCTGGTTCTGTGATGTTACCATCAATATAATATAATTAACATACTATAATATAATACAATATATATGTATACATATTCAAGAGAAAGTATTTCATCAATCTTTGTAGGTAGTTTATTCTAACAATTAAAATTCTTAAGTTAAAAGGAAAATTAACTTCATGAGAAACTTTTATTCAGTATACGCAATTAGTTTTCATTAACTTCATTAATGAAAGGTTTCAAGTCAGGTTTACCTGATGCTGAAGATCCAAGAGGGGCTGTACCTTACCTCTTAGAAGAAGAGGCCATTTAGTTGGGAAACAAACATGATCAGATTTGAGCAGTTGAGTGTTATGGTCTTGACTCAGAGACACACATGTACTTAAGCCTGGGTGTATACCAGGAAGAGGTAAGGAAAACAGTGTCATCTTGCGAGCATTGACCATCGATGGCTGAGGACAGTCAGACTTCATTTAAAGAGGACTGCTATAAATCCTTTCGTCGATACTGAATTCCTTTAGAGTGGGGCGGTTACAGCGGGACGGTCTGTTCATACTCCTACTTGTCACCGAGCCCACTGTCCTTGGTGCCCATACTCCACACAGTTACTTAACTGTCTAATGCCCTGGCGTTTCACTTTTCAGTTGTCAGGTATGAGGTAACTGTTAAGTTTCTTTCCTCCTACTACAAATTGGGAATATCAAGTAAGTGTTATGGCGTAGTGAGTCCTCAACGAAGAGGACAGCACACACGTGGTGCCCTGATTCAGGCATGCACTTGGCAGTAGATTCTGCTGTCAATCAATCGGTACTTGTGAACACCTGAGCACTAGGTAGCGTGAGAACACAGCTGTGAACAGAGAGAAAAGTCTCAGGACCCATGTCTAGGATGATGGCTCATTTGGGAAAGTACCTTCTGTGTAAGCATGAGGACATGAGTTTGGGTCCCCAGAACCCACAGAAAAGCTGAGTGTGGTGGTAGGGAGGGACAGGAGAATTGCTGGGGCTCATGGACCAGTCTGCCCAACTGAAATGGTGAGCTCCAGGTTCCCTCTGAGACATCCTGTCTCCAAAAACACAGGATGGGGAGTGAAGGAGGAAGACACCCAAAGTTGACCTCTGACCTACACACACACACACACACACACACACACACAAAGTGAACCTACACACGCATACATATATACCCCTACCTAACACACACATAAACCTACACTACACATGAGTACATACAAGCAAAAAGAAAATTTAAAAATGTCCTCATACCAATTGCAGTGGATGGAGAGAAAAATCAATTGAGTAAAATGCCTTAGGTGTTGAACAGCACAGGGAACGAGTACAGTTTGTGGGAGCAGTGGGCAG